TAACCCCAATTTTACTTCAAAAACAGACTCTATTATACTTCAGTTTTAAATTTTGAAGCTTTCAGTTTTAATTACTGAGCTTTTAATTTGATAGTTCCAACTTCTTTTAAAACATTTCTAATTTTTCAATGTATAGGGTCGCTAGAGCTTTCAAAATTTTGGCAATTAATTTTAATGTTTCTCGTTAACCTAAAAATTTCGAAAGCTTCACATTTATTGGTGATTTCAACATTAAACTCGCTGAATGTTTAAATATCTATTTTTAAACATAGAACTATTGGTCCAAAAGTGAAAGCTCGATTAGTTATCTCGAAGCTTGCAATTTAAGATTCCAAAAATTTTACAATACTTACTAAATTTGAAATTTTAATCTTAATAACGACGTAATAACCCAATTTTTTAAACAATAAACTGAAAACTTATGAAGTTTTAAGCCGAATTTTCAAATATTTGCTTAAGTGAAAAAACATCAGCTTCCAAATCTAGAAGCTTTTTAAATTTTGAAATTTTCTGTTTTAACTATTATTTAGTTTTTAATTTCAACCTACAACTGGAAATCTTAGATTCCAATTTCTAAAACGGTCACATGGATCTGAAGATTTGCTATTAATTTTAATTTTTCAGGTTACAATTTAAATTTAAAATGTTGACAGTCTCTCATTGTTCCAATCTTTAAATATCCGTTTTTAAGTGGGAAAATATTAAATAAGTTTAGAATTTAAAAGCTCCCACAATTATTTCGAAGCTTTGTCCTTAAAATTGCGAAAATGGCGTAGTAGTTAGTAAATCTGAATATTTAATCATAGGATTTCGTTATAATTCCAGTCTTTTGACTATTAAATCTTGATATTTTTTTCTGAACTTATCAAATTTATCCCCAATTTTACTTCAAAAACAGACGCTATTATACATCAGTTTTAAATTTTGAAGCTTTCAGTTTTAATTACTGAGTTTTTAATTTTATAGTTCCAACTTCTTTTAAAGCATTTCTAATTTTTCAATGTATAGGGTCGCTAGAGCTTTCAAAATTTTGGCAAGTAATTTTAATGTTTCTCGTTAACCTAAAAATTTCGAAAACTTCACATTTAGTGCTGATTTCAACATTACGCTCGCTGAATGTTTAAATATCTATTTTTAAACATAGAACTATGGGTCCAAAAGTGAAAGCTCGATTAGTTATCTCGAAGCTTGCAATTTAAGATTCCAAAAATTTCACAATAGTTACTAAATTTGAAATTTTAATCTTGATAACGACGTAATAACCCAATTTTTTAAACAATAAACTGAAAACTTATGAAGTTTTAAGTCGAATTTTCAAATATTTGCTTAAGTGAAAAAATATCAGCTTCGAAATCTAGAAACTTTTTAAATTTTGAAATTTTCTGTTTTAACTGTTATTTAGTTTGTAATTTCTACCTACAACTGGAAATCTTCGATTCCAATTTCTAAATCGGTTACATGGATCTGAAGATTTGCTATTAATTTTAATTTTTCAGGTTACACTTTAAATTTAAAATGTTGACAGTCTCTCATTGTTCCAATCTTTAAATATCCGTTTTTAAGTGGGAAAATATTAAATAAGTTTAGACTTTAAAAGCTCCCACAATTATTTCGAAGCTTGCCCTTAAAATTGCGAAAATGGCGTAGTAGTCAGTAAATCTGAATATTTAATTATAGGATTTCGTTATAATTCCAGTCTTTTGAATATTAAATCTTGATATTTTTTTCTGAACCTATAAAATTTATCCCCAATTTTATGTCAAAAACAGACGCTATTATACATCAGGTTTAAATTTTGAAGCTTTCAGTTTTAATTACTGAGCTTTTAATTTGATAGTTCCAACTTCTTTTAGAACATTTCTAATTTTTCAATGTATAGGGTCGCTAGAGCTTTCAAAATTTTGGCAATTAATTTTAATGTTTCTCGTTAACCTAAAAATTTCGAAAGCTTCACATTTAATGGTAATTTCAACATTAAGCTCGTCGAATGTTTAAATATCTATTTTTAAACATAGAACTATGGGTCCAAAAGTGAAAGCTCGATTAGTTATCTCGAAGCTTGCAATTTAAGATTCCAAAAATTTCACAATAGTTACTAAATTTGAAATTTTAATCTTGATAACGACGTAATAACCCAATTTTTTAAACAATAAACTGAAAACTTATGAAGTTTTAAGCCGAATTTTCAAATATTTGCGTAAGTGAAAAAATATCAGCTTCGAAATCTAAAAGTTTTTTAAATTTTGAAATTTTCTGTTTTAACTATTATTTAGTTTTTAATTTCTACCTACAATTGGAAATCTTCGATTCCAATTTCTAAAACGGTCACATGGATCTGAAGATTTGCTATTAATTTTAATTTTTCAGGTTACACTTTAAATTTAAAATGTTGACAGTCTCTCATTGTTCCAATCTTTAAATATCCGTTTTTAAGTGGGAAAATATTAAATAAGTTTAGAATTTAAAAGCTCCCACAATTAGTTCGAAGCTTTGCCCTTAAAATTGCGAAAATGGCGTAGTAGTCAGTAAATCTGAATATTTAATTATAGGATTTCTTTATAATTCCAGTCTTTTGATTATTAAATCTTGATTTTTTTTTCTGAACCTATCAATTTTTTCCCCAATTTTACTTCAAAAACACACGCTATTATACATCAGTTTTAAATTTTGAAGCTTTCAGTTTTAATTACTGAGTTTTTAATTTGATAGTTTCAAGTTCTTTTAAAACATTTCTAATTTTTCAATGTATAGGGTCGCTAGAGCTTTCAAAATTTTGGCAATTAATTTTAATGTTTCTCGTTAACCTAAAAATTTCGAAAGCTTCACATTTATTGGTGATTTCAACATTAAACTCGCTGAATGTTTAAATATCTATTTTTAAACATAGAACTATTGGTCCAAAAGTGAAAGCTCGATTAGTTATCTCGAAGCTTGCAATTTAAGATTCCAAAAATTTTACAATACTTACTAAATTTGAAATTTTAATCTTAATAACGACGTAATAACCCAATTTTTTAAACAATAAACTGAAAACTTATGAAGTTTTAAGCCGAATTTTCAAATATTTGCTTAAGTGAAAAAACATCAGCTTCGAAATCTAGAAACTTTTTAAATATTGAAATTTTCTGTTTTAACTGTTATTTAGTTTTTAATTTCCACCTACAACTGGAAATCTTCGATTCCAATTTCTAAAATGGTCACATGGATCTGAAGATTTGTTATTAATTTTAATTTTTCAGGTTACACTTTAAATTTAAAATGTTGACAGTCTCTCATTGTTCCAATTTTTAAATAACCGATTTTAGATGGGAAAAGATTAATTAAGTTTATAATTTAAAAGCTCCCACAATTATTTTAGAGCTTTTCCCTTAAAATTGCGAAAATGGCGTAGTAGTCAGTAAATCTGAATATTTAGTTATAGGATTTCGTTATAGTTCCAATCTTTTGACTACTAAATCTTGATATTTTTTTCTGAACCTATCAAATTTTTCCCCAATTTTACTTCAAAAACAGACGCTCTAGTTTTAAATTTTGAAGTTTTCGATTTTAATTAATGAGCTTTTAATTTGATAGTTCTGAGCTTTAGTTAGAACATTTCCAATTTTTCAATGTTAGGATGCTATAATTAACCTTAAAATTTCGAAAGCTTTACATTCAACGGTGATTTCAACATCAAGCTCACTCAATGTTCAAGCATCGATTTTCAAATATAGAACTATGAGTCCAAAATGAAAAGCTCTATTATCTCGAAGCTTGCAATTTAAAATTCCAAAAATTTTACAAAATCTCTTTCGGTTTTAATTACTGACTACTGACATTAGTGTCGACATAACCTATGATTTTCAAGTTGAAAGCTTCAACAAAAATGGAAACTTTAGCAAAACTTTGCTTACAACTTACTTATAACTCATTGTTAATGCACGTAATTTTAGCTTTACCATCTGAATGCGTAATGCTTAAATTTTGAAACTTCAATGTGTGAATGTAAGCTTGAAGTTTCCACATATATCTATCTCAAAGATTCCACTTTATGTCTCAAAATTTTAATATTCATTGTGAAATTTTGGTGTTTTAGATCCAGAAGCTTGGCTGCGAACTTCAAGACACGGACTTTTAAAGCTTCTACTTATAAATTTTGTTTAATTTATTCTTACCTATATTTGACAACGAATCTGTGTGCTACACTAATTTCGAATAAGAAGAACCCCAAATGTTAAAAATTTTATTTCTCTTATCGTCACGTATCCCATATAGTACGTATGCCATATCTCCTAACCATTTCTCCACTCTCCTCCCAATTTTTTAATAAAATTCGAAACCGCCAAATCCAATCCTCAATTTCTCTCTTCGACTTTCCCACGCCAGCCGCCCCCGCCCCACCTCTCCAACCCGCCGCTGCACTTTTATTAACCGCAATAAAACCCGACGCAGGCCCCATAAAAGCGCGGATGTGTCCATCTATCCCAAAAAACTTAAAAATCAATGGTTATATCCATCGGAAACGGGGGAGAAGACGACGCTAAAATTCCTCATTTCGCCCTCGCAGCTCAGTGCGAACTCCCATCGCCATTCAGCCGTCGCACCTCCGAAATCTCCGCTTACATTTCTGCTTAAGTCATGTCTGAGCTCGCACCAGCCAATGTCATTATTGACAACTTTATTTCGCCCGAACGTCGCGACGGAAGCGCATTCGCCCTCTCAAGGTCACACGCCAAACCGAACGCATCGATTCGCGCGATCTGACACATGTCAAGGCGCGATTGGTCGATCGCGCCAAGGTCACGCATCGATCGCCCGCTTGTCAGACTTCGATTGGGCGATCTTTGACATGTGTCAAGATCGATGCTGCGCGCTTATTTCTCGAATTATTAGGCTTAAATCGGTCTCCATGGTGACGGGGGAGGCGGTCCGCCCGCCCGCCCGGCCGCCACGGGGGCTGCTCTTTCGCTTTATTTTTTTGATTTTGTTTTGATTTATTTTTCGTTTTTATTTTGTTTTAGAATCTGTACGGAGATGCGAGTTACCTTCGTGGAGAGTCAAGACGGGGACGGGGAAAGGGCCGAGGCGCTGGGGTAGGTTGCAACTGGATCTAACACATGACTCACTCAAATTATTGGTGATTTATTGCATTTAATTCGGAACGCACGCCGCTGCCGATCGATAGCGCACTCGTGTATGGAATAGTTTTTTCGGTAGTTAACGGAAGCGGCGCGGGGCGCTGCTGTTCTCTTCCTTCTCAGCTGCAGTGACTATATCGTTTTTTAAAACGCTCGCTAAAATAAAGCTGTCACGCCTAGGTGGCGTTTTGGGGCAAATTATTTATAATATTATATATTATTATCTTCTACATTATACCGTTATTGTGGTCTGTAATAAGTCACTGTAGATGAGATTGTGGTTAGTTTTTAAGTGACGTTAACAGATGACAGTTGACCAAAAAAAAAGGAACCAATCAAATATGAGACACTCGTCGCGATAGTTCTCAGAATTCTGTAGTAGATAATTTTCTAGAAGTTCTGCGAACCTTCGAGAAAATTGTTATATGGAATGAAAGGTTTGAAAATAAGTTGCGCACGAACACCAATTTACTTCTTATATATCGGGTGTCTGATTTTTTTCTCGGACATTAGTTCTGCACGTCAGCGTGGTATAAAAGCTTAATTTGACGATAAGTATCATAGAACAAATGACTTTTAAAGTATAGGTTTTTACGTAATATAAAGAAATTTATTTATTTATTAAAAAAAGTAAGTATTACGTAATGCAATAATTTTTCGCAGTGACCATTCTACGTCCAAAATTGCACTTAATTTCTTTCAATTTCAAAATAAAAGTTGTAATGTTCTGGTAACAAAAATATAAATTTTTGTGAATGAAAAATGTTTTGTTTTAAGTTGACTTTGCTTCTAAAGTGCTATAATTCAAAAAAATATAATATATATCTTCGTAAACTGTAAAAAAAAATCGTTTGTCCAAAAAAATTGACAATGATTTTTTTATTTTGTAGTATAATTTTTGTCTTACAATTTTGGAATAGAAAACTTGTTTAAGCTACTTATATTTAAATTGCGTTCAAAAAATTATCGCTTATCAAAAAAAAAAAAAAATGGGCATGTGAATTTTTAATTTTGTTGTATAATTTCAGAGTTACGATTTTGGAATAGAAATCTTTTAAATCGCTTTTATTTCAATTCTAATCAGCTTTGCATCGAAACTCTTGATGAGTAAAAAATGAATTTTGAAAAAAATATCGTTTTGTCAAGAAATTGGCATGAGATATATATATTTTTTTTGTAGTATTATTTTTAACCGACAATTTTTGAAAATAATTCTTGTTTAAGCCTCTTTTATTTACATTGCCGTCAGTTTTTTCACCACAGTTCTTAACAAATGGAACTGGATTTTGGAAAAAAATCGTTTTTCCAACGAAAAATAAGTGACTATTTTTAATTTGTAGTATTATTTTTGACTTACGATTTTGGAATGGAAATCTTTTTTAATTCTCTTTTATTTAAATTAAAATCAGGATTATCACCACAGTTCTCCACAAATAAAACCAAATTTTGGAAAAATTATCGCGTATCCAAAAGAAAATGGTCATGTGATTTTTAAAATTCGATTCAGCTTTACATCGAAATCTTTAATGAGTAAAAAGTGAATTTAAAAAAAAAACGATTTTTTTCAAAAGTTGGTATGACATAATTTTTTTTTAATTTTGGTAATATTATTTTTGACCTACGATTTTTGAAAAACATTCTTGTATCAACCTCTTTTACTTAAGTTGGCTTCAATGTTTTCGCTGCAGTTCTTGAAAACTGGAAATGGATTTTGGAAAAGAAAATTGTTTTTCCGAAGAAAATTAAGTGACTTTTTTTATTTTGTTGTATTATATTTGACTTACCATTTGGAACGGAAATCTTCTTCAATTCTCTTTTATTTAAATTGAAATCAGGATTTTCACCACAATTCTTCACAAATGAAACCGAATTTTGGAAAAATTATCGCTTATCAAAAAAAAAAAAAATGGACATGTGATTATTTAATTTTGTTGTACCATTTCAGAGTTACGATTTTAGAATAGAAATCTTTAAATCGCTTTTATTTCAATTCCATTCAGCTTTGCATCGAAATCCTTGATGAGCAAAAAATGAATTTTGGAAAAAAATATCGTTTTGTCAAAAAATTGGCATGAGATAATTTTTTTTTTAATTTTGGTAGTATTATTTTTGATCGACGATTTTTGAAAATAATTCTTGTTTAAGTCTCTTTTTTTACATTGCCTTCAGTTTTTTCACCATAGTTCTTAAGAAATGGAACTAGATTTTGAAAAAAAAAATCGTTTTTCCAAAGAAAATTAAATGACTTTTTCTATTTTGTAGAATTAAATTTGACTTACGATTTTGGAATGGAATTCTTCTTTAATTCTCTTTTATAAAAATTAAAATCAGGATTATCAACACAATTCTCCATAAATAAAACCAAATTTTGGAAAAATTATGGCTTATCCAAAAAAAATGGACATGTGATTTTTAAATTTCGATTTAGCTTTCCATCGAAATCTTTAATGGGTAAAAAGTGAATTTAAAAAAAAAAACTTTTTGTTCAAAAGTTGGCATGATATAATTTTTTTTTTTATTTTGGTAATATTATCCTTGAGCTACGATTTTTGAAAAAAATTCTTGTATCAACCTCTTTTACTTAAGTTGTCTTGAATTTTTTCACTACAGTTCTTGAAAACTGGAAATGGATTTTGGAAAAAAAAATTGTTTTTCCGAAGAAAATTAAGTGACTTTTTTTATTTTGTAGTATTATATTTGACTTACCATTTGGAACGGTAATCTTCTTCAATTCTCTTTTATTTAAATTGAAATCAGGATTTTCACCACAATTCTTCACAAATGAAACCGAATTTTGGAAAAATTATCGCTTATCCAAAAAAAATGGACATGTGATTATTTAATTTTGTTGTATCATTTCAGAGTTACGATTTTGGAATACAAATTTTTAAATCGCTTTTATTTCAATTCCATTCAGCTTTGCATCGAAATCCTTGATGAGCAAAAAATGAATTTTGGAAAAAAATATCGTTTTGTCAAAAAATTGGCATGAGATAATTTTTTTTTTAATTTTGGTAGTATTATTTTTGATCGACGATTTTTGAAAATAATTCTCTTTTTTTACATTGCCTTCAGTTTTTTCACCATAGTTCTTAAGAAATGGAACTGGAGTTTGTGAAAAAAATCGTTTTTCCAAAGAAAATTAAATTACTTTTTTTATTTTATAGTATTATATTTGACTTACGATTTTGGAATGCAAATCTTCTTTAATTCTCTTTTGTTTAAATTAAAATCAGGATTATCACCACAGTTCTCCACAAATAAAACCAAATTTTGGAAAAATTGTCGTTTATCCAAAAAAAAATTGGACATGTGATTTTTAAATTTCGACTCAGCTTTACATCGAAATCTTTAATGAGTAAAAAAGAATAAAAAAAAAAGTTTTGTACAAAATTTGGCACGACATTTTTTTTTTAATTTTGGTAGTATTATCTTTGACCTACGATTTTTGAAAAAAAATCTTGTTTCAACCTCTTTTATTTAAATTGCCTTCAATTTTTTCACAAAGTTCTTGAAAAGTGGAAATGAATTTTGGAAAAAAATCGTTGTTCCAAAGAAAAAAATTAAATGACTTTTTTATTTTGTAGTATTATATTTGATTTACGATTTTGGAATGGAAATCTTTTTAATTTTCTTTTATTTAAATTAAACTCAGGATTATCACCACGATTCGCCATAAATAAAACAAAATTATGGAAAAATTAACGCTTATCCAAAAAAAATTGACATGTGATTTTTTAATTTCGATTCAACTTTACATCGAAATCTTTAATGAGTAAAAACTGAATTTTCAAAAAAAATAGTTTTGTCCAAAATTTGGCATGACATATATTTTTTTTTAATTTTCGTAATACATATTATCCTTGACCTACGATTTTTGAAAAAAATTCTTGTTTCAACCTCTTTTATTTAAATTGCCTTCAATTTTTTCACCAAGTTCTTGAAAAGTGGAAAAGGATTTTGGAAAAAAAATGGTTTTTCCAAAGAAAATTAAATGACTTTTTTTATTTTGTAGTATTATATTGGACTTACGATTTTGGAATGGAAATTTTCTTTAATTCTCTTTTATTTAAATGAAAATCAGGATTATCACCACAATTCTCCATAAACAAAACAAAATTTTGGAAAAATTATGGTTTATCCAAAAAAAAAAATTGTCATGTGATTTTTAAATTTCGATTCAACTTTACATCGAAATTAAAAAAAGATAGTTTTGTCCAAAATTTCGCATGACATATTTTTTTAATTTTCGTAATACATATTATCTTTGACCTACGATTTTTGAAAAAATTCTTGTTTCAACCTCTTTTATTTAAATTGCCTTCAATTTTTTCACCAAGTTCTTGAAAAGTGAAAATGGATTTTGGAAAAAAAATCGTTCTTCCAAAAAAAATTAAATGACTTTTTTTATTTTGTAGTACGAGTGTTTGACTTACGATTTTGGAATGGAAATCTTTAATTCTCTTTTATTTAAATAAAAATCAGGATTATCACCATAATTCTCCATAAATAAAACAAAATTTTGGAAAAATTATCGCTTATCCAAAAAAAACTGACATGTGATTTTTAAATTTCGGTTCAACTTTACATCGAAATCTTTAATGAGTAAAAAATGAATTAAAAAAAAAATAGTTTTGTCCAAAATTTGGCATGACATATTTTTATTTTAATTTTAGTAATACATATTATCTTTGACCTACGATTTTTGAAAAAAATTCTTGTTTCAACCTCTTTTATTTAAATTGTCTTAAATTTTTTCAGCAAGTTCTTGAAAAGTGAAAAAGTATTTTGGAAAAAAAATCGTTTTTCCAAAGAAAATTAAATGACTTTTTCTATTTTGTAAAATTATATTTGACTTAACGATTTTGGAATGGAATTATTCTTTAATTCTCTTTGGAATGGAAATCTTCTTTAATTCTCTTTTATTTAAATTAAAATCAGGATTATCGCGACAA